TTTGATGCCAATTCTCAGGAAAGTGAATCACCTTATCTGCATCTACAGACAGACAGAACAACAGATGGAAGGATATATGACAAAGATTAACAATTAGTTAAATCAGCTAAACTTAAATATGTACAGTTGTATATATTATGTATATTTTTTAATATGTTTTTAAAAATGTTTTGTTTATAAAAAGTTGTATTTTAAACATGTACACCGTACTCTTTCTGTCATTTCCTGTCTTCCTCGGTGTTATTATCTCCTGTCTTGTTCCGGTTTTGCTTCCTGTTTTTTTTTTTTGTTTCTCCTCTTTGTGTTTGGCCCCGCCCTCTTTTTCTTCACCTACATCTGCAGCTCTGTGTCAGTCAGCCCTCTGTGTGTACATGTGGTCCTGTTCTTTAGTCTGCATGTTCGTATTATAGACTCATTCACCTTTATATTTCACCTACTGTGTAAAGAAATGTATGTGAGGAACACCGTGTGTTAGATGTACATACACTGACTACACTACATATAAACAAAGCTTCATTTTTTTAAATCCTGTATTAAATAAATGAGGGTAAATGAGATATAAATGCTGCGGCACATTCGAGGTTTGTCTCTCGTGCATTAACATGAGCGCATTTGTGTGCACACAGGCCCAGTACATCCTGATTCACCAGGCCCTGCTGGAGCACAACCAGTTTGGAGAGACAGAGATCAGCCTGTCTGAGCTGCACAGCACAATGAACACGCTCAAAGAGAAAAACTTGGACGACGAGCCCACGCTCATGGAGGAGGAGTTTGAGGTACGCCGTATCTTATCACTTTTATAGCTGTAAACTACAGAAGAGCAGTGCGAGGGACCGAAAGTGCAGCTTTGATCGTGTTTAAGTCGCTGAGTGAGTCACAGAGAAATCACGTAAAGAGTGTCTGACAGAATAATGTAAATGACCCTAAAACATTGATGTAGCACAAACGTCTGAAATCTAAAAATATCATCAAGTGTGCCTGTCGTCCTCTTCTCCATCACATCCTGCACGATGGATTGGATGGAAGCAAAGTTTTAATAGACAAAATGATCTTGCAGAGACTCCCCACCTTTAAAAACTGGAGGACGCTCAACACAGGAGTGACCGAAGAAAACAAGAAGAAGAATCGTTCTTCGTCGGTCATCCCCTGTGAGTTTGCTTTGCATGCACGCGTGTGCTCGCATGTAAGATTACATCTGCTCAGTTCCACTTCTTTCATATCAAACCTGCAGATGACTTCAACCGCGTGCTCCTGAAGCTGGATGAAGGACGAAGTCAGGACAGTGACCCTGACGAAGACGATGAGGAGGAAGATTCTTCAGATGAAGAGGATGAAGACTCCACTCAATACATCAACGCCTCGCACATCACGGTAACGTTCAGCCTATTTATGAACCCGTTTCTATGTAAACTACTAAAAATACCAGCCGATGTCAAACTGTGACAAACTGCTTCCTGCCACCTTCTTTCCTGTTGCACCAGATAACGAAATGTCTCATCTTCTATGTTTGGACTCGATGTGTTTGTCTCCCACACAGGGATACTGGGGCTGCCGTGTCTTCATAGTGGCGCAGACCCCACTGGCAGACACCACGGGGGACTTCTGGTCGATGATTTACCAGAAGAAAGTTTATACTGTCGTCATGCTTTCAGACAGCAGTGAAGGAGACGCGGTACATACAATATAACATACTTATAGTGACACACATTAAATGTACATGTGGTAAATATGCTTGTTTTCTTCTGCTCAACAGGACTGTATTTACTGGGACAAAGAGAAGAAGAGCTTTGGGGAGATTGAGGTGGAGGTGACGAGCACAGACAACTCGCCAAATTTCATCAGACGCACCATGCAGATCCGCCACGTCAAGGTAACACAGCCGCCACCTACTCTGCCTCTGTAAGCGAGCCTCGCCGCATGAGACCGCGCATTTGTAAGCCAGCTGTGCTCTTCTCGTCCTCTTCTATCCACAGAGGAAAGACAGACGGGAGATAAACCATTTCCAGTTCCTGAAGTGGACGAGCAAAGAGGAGGTGCCGGAGAAACCTCAAGACCTCACAGACATGATCAAGGACATCAAGCAAAACTGCGGCACCAGCAGATCACAGAGGAACAACCCCATAGTGGTCCACTGCGAGTAAGAACACACGGGGAACAGTTCAGTGACGAGATGAGAACGAGGCAGCACGCAGCGAGGACGAGTCATCGTTCTCAGCGTTCAGATCAGTAAAATGTGTCGCAACAGCCGACTTCTCCACCTCGCTGGGTTTCAGGGCGGACACTAGTGTCCCTTTGATCAGTGTTTTTAAATAAAGAGCTCGGTAAAATCTAAGCAGCAGGATGTCTTTTAAACAGAGAAATCAGCTACGTAGCTGCATTTCTGCGCATATACAGATGTTGCCACATGTTTTGGTGCAAGCCCTACAGTTGACAGAGCATGCATGAATGCAGCAATCATTTACGTTGCAAATTTTAGATAAAGATCTTGATGAAAATGAGCTCACCCTGCTTTGCAGCCTCACTTTATTTCAAGGAAACCATGCATTTGATTTCCTTTGAGGCATGAATATGTTATAAAAATAGTGTGAATACTCCCAACAGCACTCTTTAAAGCCACCTCACACAAAGTGTGATTACCGAGTGTACACAGTAAAATGCATCTATGTTAGTGTGAAAGACAGTAAAGGTCAGCTGATCAGGAATAGTTGAGTATTCCCATGAATTTAACCCAACATCAATTATTCTTTTAAGGAAATCCTTTGTTTGATGTTTAATTAGTTATATTTTTATTTCCTATGACAACAGATCCACTTTCAGACTTTTTGTTTTTCATGTGATGTCCTTCACAGGCCCACAGCTGTCTAATACATAAATGGATATGTAACTTGTGGTGTTTTGTGCTCCTCAGCGACGGCTCGTCCCGCTCAGGGGTTTTCTGCGCCCTGTGGAACGTGCTGGACAACGCTGAGAGCGAGAAGCTGGTGGATGTTTTCCAAGTGGTCAAAACGCTGCGCAAAGAGAGACAGCACATGGTCTCCAGCCTGGTGAGAAAGAGGAACACAATCGTTACACTCTGCTTATAACCAGAGATCAGCGTTGCACATCACCAGTTCCCTGTTCTAGCTCACTATGAAATGTATATTTTATTTTACTGTTTTAAAAACAAAAGTAAGCTCAAGTATAAAGATCATTTCTGCCTTGTATTTGATAACAAATGTATGAAAAAGCCACGCCCATTTGTTTTCTCCCTGCTGCTGATGTAAACTTGAGTCATTGTTGCATTTTGCCTGTTTTCAGCAGTGTGTTCAGGCTTATGTGAACTTTTACAGCAGCTGGAAACTGTTATGACTAGTTTGTGGCGACAGTAGAAGTCTGATATGAAGCACTGTGATATCCGTGCTTGTCCACACAGAGTTTAGTAGTATCGGTTCAGTGTTTGTGTGTTCGTGGGATTCTTCCTGCTGGTTATTTAGGGAAGTGTGTAAGACAGCAAAGAAAGCAAGATTCACTCTAACAAGAAACACACTGAAACAATATTTGTTTCCTGTGTTTCTAACAGGAGCAATACCAGTTTATATATGACGCCGTGGAGGCCGTGTTCCCCGTTCAAAACGGGGAAGTGAAACCGGTGCAGGCCTCTGCAGCCGACTCGGTGCAGATCGTCAACGAGACGAAAGCGGCCGAGCAGAAAGACGAAACCAAGGCTGAGGAGCCAGCCAGCACTACCAGCAACGAGCAGCAGGCGGCAGCAGAGAGCACTCCTCTGGTGCCTGACAAAGAAGAGAAGAAAGAGGAGGCGGAGAAAGAGGCCCCACCCACGGAGACCACGCCGCTGGACGACACCAGCAACGGTCCCACTGTCACGGTGGAGGTGTGAGGGTGCCGGCCGTGACTGTGTCCACTGATGGAAATAAGCGCTTCAGTTTTATGCTTTTTTAAATTACCTTATGAATGTATAAACGTTGTAAAACTTTTAGATTTGTGGAAGAATTTGACCAAATATCTCACGTCAGTTTCCAAAGTGTTTGATTTAAATTAAGTTATAAATGTTTCTGAATGCAAATGTAATTTCTCTCTTTTCACAAAGTTTACCAGCACAGCTGTCATCAAACTGGACCCTTTACTGGATATTTAAAGGGGTCTAACAACTAAATCTGAAATATACAGCAGACGAGTTGTTTTGTCCTCTACGCTGTTATTTAGTTCATCTTCTGTTTCCTCATTTATACATAGTAACAAGCATTTTTTGAACATTTAGTTAAAGTCAGTGTTTTATGGCACACTGCGTTTTTTATTACAGTTGTATTTATGCGTTGTATTTGCTCACTGTCATCAGCTTTGTTAAGCATATCTTTAAAAGATAAGTATGTTCCTCACTCAGCTTCTTACTACAGGAACACTGAAAGGTTTGAAGTATGTGTTGTATATTTCTCCCACTAATGAAGTTGGAGCAACATTTGAATCAACATTTTTTGGTTGTGCTGAGTTTCTTTGAGTCACACCAGTAACGTACTCGTGGAGCAGACTGGGTCAACAGTTTTCTTTTTCGTTTGCAATAAATTTACCTGATGACATTTTACTCTGGATCTTTCCTTGAATAGAAAAATGTGAAAACGAGCTCAAATCTTCAGGAGGTTAAAATCACACACGTGTCTTTGTTCTTCATATTAGTTTCAGGGCTGAGCGGCCGATCAGGCAGAGAGAACACACTAATAACACGTCTCAGCTCGTCTCAGGGCGGCTCTGAGCCAGAAACCAAAACCTCGAGCTTCATCAAAAGTCGTTGCTAAGTGTGTGATTGTTTCAAAAGATGGGAAAACAAAATAGAAAACTGACAGTGCAAAAGAATAGACTCAGTCATATAATGAAATCTCTTTAAAACGCATAAATAGAAATATCTCATTTCAATAAATAGGATGTTATTCATTCCCACCGGTGTGTGAGTGTGTACAGCGCTATACAAATACAGGCCATTTACCATTTATTCATTCTGCCTTAAAAATGTAGAAACTTTGCTCACTGTTGACATTTATAGTTTGCTTACATTTATTTAATGTGTGAGAACCGCTGGGCTTGTTTTTATTGGCTGTCTTGCATAACCTGTGCTTTGGATCTTCCTTTGCTTAAATGGATAAATATGATTTAAGTGAATAATATGAACTATGAATATTCTGTTTCCTCGCTGCTTAAAATTCTCTTAAGTCCTTCTTTCAGTCTCACCTTAGAAGCAGTTTTTATGTCTTTACTTTTGTTTTATCGAGATTTAGTCTCAACTTTGACGGGACCATGTGAGAAATATCAACATTTTACAGTTTCGATTATTGTTTGTACCTTTGGAAGCTTTGTGAATACTCGCACAGATGTCAGCACTTTAATCCTCCAGCACGTGTGGGGGGGACGTTGTGACTCCCAGTGCTAATTCGCTGTGGTTGGACAGCTTCTGTTTGTTTGTGTGCAACAATATAACTGTAAAGAAGGTTGTTTCTGATTTTAAGAAAATTAAAATGGCAGCTGCTCCAAATGTAGAAAAAACAGAAGATTTATCTTTTATTTTTTTGAAAATTCACATTTACTGTGATCATGTAAATAATTTATCATGTTTTTCTTTGACAAAGGCCAACAGTTACAAAATTTAAGACACACA